ATTTTACCTTAAATATTGAAAATTAACCAAACTTGATTGTCATAATTCAGCAAAGGTTTGGGGGACTAACACAGGTATACCAAGGCTTTGGCTATTACCACCAAAACACAAACGAAATGAAGTTAAACAAGTAAACAAGCTGTAATTTCGGCCGGGAGGAACTTTGAATACCCTCCTGAATTGAAACAAATATGCAATTTTCAAAAAAAAAAAAAAAAAAATCTATTAAAATCATAAAAATTCTGAATGTAGCCGTTATATTAGGGTCTATACAAAGATGTTGACCTGCATAGGCAATTTCTGTCATATACCATTATAATATTCAAATAAGAAATTTGAAAATAAATAAATCCTAAAATCATCAAAATACAGAATATAGGGAGGTACCGTAATGTCCGGGGTATACGAAGACCTGGACCTGCATAGAAAATTTTCTATCACAGACTGTAGTACCTATCGAAACTTTAAATACGAATTTTTGAATTATTTCGGTGAATATTGTACCTAAAATCGTCAAAATACCGAATATCGGGATGTCCCGTTATATGGGGGCTATACGAAGACGTGGACAATTGTACAATGTCTTAGGCTGTAGTATCCATTACGAACGAACAAATACCAAATTTGAAACAGTTCCGGTGAATAATGTAGCTGAAATCATCAAAGTACCGAATGACAGGAGGTACCGTTATATGGGGGCTATGCGAAGGCCTGGACCTGCACGGATAATTTTCCGTCATAGCCTGTAGTATTCATTACGAACTTAAAATACAAAATACCATTATATGGGGGCTATACCAAAACGTGGACCTACTGCGTTCTAATACATTTGAGTATCAACCTATTTCATTTCGTTCGGAAGCTAGATTGATTTCCACAGACGGACGGATATCGCTAAATCGGCGTAGAATTTTATGCTGATCAAAAATGTACATAATTATAGGTCGCAATTATTGTCCAATCCCCAAGATATTTTGCGAAGGGGTAGGGTTAAGGTCAGAATTAAAGTCAATTTTTTTAAGATGTACATTTACAAAAAAAAAAAAAAAAATAAATAAATAAATAAAAAAATAAATAAAATTTTCCTGACTTTGCAATCGCTTTACATTTCACAATTGAAAATCGACACAGAATTTTGAATGAAAAAAGAATTAAGGCATGGAAGAATTCCAGAATTTTGGATGACCATTGGATTATATTAACCTGTAAAATGTGCAACAAATTTCGTGTAAAATTCTTTTAAATACCTATCAACACTACGGAGTGTGTGAAATTCCTCTTGTCAAAAACCATATTTAAAACAATAGCTCACTTTTTCGCAAGTGTAAGGGTTATAATTATCCAAAATTTTGGTCGATTGTGGGAAAGATACCAGTAGAAGAGGGCCAAAAAATTCATAATTAAAAAAAAAAAAATAAAAAAATAAAAAAAATTTTGACTATTTTGTATAATTTGAGACTTATAATTATTTAAAATTTTGACTCACAGAGAAGAGTAGTCCGATATATATCATCTTCATACCAGATCATGTGTTGGTAATAATATAGAAGACAACATGCTGATTCTTTGCGGGGGAGGAACCAGAAGGAGTACATGAATGTATCCCGGATCTTGTGTTGATAGAAATATTGGGATGTGTCGAGGTTGAAAAGAATCCGTTGTTCATTTCTCCTTTTATGAGCGTCATGTTTATTCAAATGTTTGACTCGTTGTGGGGGAGGTACCACAATGAGTGGCCCGTTAAATTCATTCTCTATACCAGATGTGTGAAATTTGATATGGGACTCCTATTACACATTTTAGAAGAGAGACGATTTTTCACATTTTATAATCTATTTTTGATAATAATATATAGATGCACTAAGTTTAGACGCCATCGGACAAATGTCCCCATGTAGTCATGTAGCATAAATAATAATTGAGTTCAGCTGTACAAAGCTGAAACTGAACTTGAAACATAACGCTGACATTGAACAAGATCAAGATCACAACATATAACGATATAATACATCGACAATATACAGGGAGATGAAAAAACTGAAACTATCTTCAGACTGCTGTCATTTCTAAGCCACTTGTCCGACAGCTTTTACAAAATGAGGTCCCTCGATTCATTTCCAGCGCACAATGGCCACGAAATTCTCCGGATACCAATCTGTTGGAATATTGTGTCTGGAATATTTTGGAAAGCAAGGTTGGCACTAAAAAATACCCAAGTGTCGATCACCTGAAGCAAGCGCTTCGCCGGGAGTGGGCCAAAATACCGCAGAGCAATATTTGTGCCAAAGGTGACAAATTCAAACAAATCTAAAATTATCCGAAAATTTGATGCTATTTCCGACATTTTTGCTTTAATTCTATAAAATTTAGAAAAATGTAAAAAATTTTGAAGTATTTTTATCTCACCCTGTATATACTTTATGGAGGGAGGGTATTAAAAACCCTGAATGAGTTCGCAAGTTATTAGGGTTAACGAAATTTTTGGATTTGCCAAGATTAGAAAAAATCGGATGCTTATTTCGCAGTTTATGAGCATTATAGTTATTCAACATTGTGACCGGAAGGAGTGGTTTGATGTGGTCGTTTTTCGCACAAACATATATTAGGATTTGGAAGTTTGAATAAATTTGGAATATCCTATAAGGTAAAGTAATTTCTTTGACATTTTTTAGCTTTTGTGGGGTAGGTACCAGAAGGAGTGGACTCATCTCTGAACTTAATCATCTGCGAACTCGATCTATGTTTAATAATAATGTTACAATGTACCAAGCTTGGACGCCATCGAAGAGATATCGTGCATACCCACTGACACATATATATACCCCATGCATGCACATGGCTGAGTATTAAATTAATAATTTATTTTAGCTTTCCGTAGCTGATACTGAATCTGAAACATAATGTTGACAGCGAACAAGATCAATCTGATAACAATTTCATAATAGCACTACACTACACCAAAAATTTATATGATAAACTAGCTGAACCCGGTGCGCTTCGCTACCCCTTTTGATTTTATATGCATTCAAAATTTTAATTACGAATATATGTTGGTTAAAAAAAAACAAATTTAAAAAATAAAAAAAAAATTATTGCACTACTTTAATGCGTAATTAACCAAAACCATTAGAAAAGCAGTAACATGACATACATACACGAAGGGCTTGTCCTTCGGATTTATTTATTTCATAGTAAATAATACCAAGCGTGCAGTAAACTGCAATCTTTTGAAGCTGAGTGGCATTTCTATTGCAATTAGTGAATTCGAGATAGCAACATACTTCGCTGATCCGATTTAAATATAATTTAAAAAAAAAAAAATACTTTTACACCAAACTCCGCCACACCTTTCATATTTCATTGAAATTGGTGCGTCACATATGTGAAATCGGCCGATAATATATATATGGGAGCTATATCCAAATCTTAACTAATTTCCAATTAATTTGTCATATTTATTATTGTAACCAAATTCCGCCACACATTCTGAATTTCATTGGCATCGGTCATATATATCATGTTTGGTGCATAACATATATGAAATCGGCCGAAATATATATGTTAGCTATATCCAAACCTCAACTGATTTCAATATAATTTGGAAATTTTTTCTGGTGCCAGATTTTGTCTCTCTCGCTTTGGGTGCATCAAATATGTGAAATCGGCTGAGTATATATATGGGAGCTATAATCAAATCTGAGCGTATTTGAATATAATTTGTCAAATTTATTTTTGTACCAAATTTAGCCACTCATGCCGAATTTCATTGGAATCGGAAATACGTATCGTGTTTTGTGCATCAAATATGTGAAATCGACGGAAAATATATATCTATATCCGAATCTGAACCGATTTTAAAATAATTTGACTAATTTATTTTCTAATCAAAATCCCGTTACATATTCCAAATTTCTTTGGAATCGAACATACATATCGTGTATGGTGCATAAAATACGTGAAATCGGTCGAAAATATATATGAGAGCTATATCCAAATCTGAACCGATTTTAATATAATTTAACAAATGTATATTTGTTTTAATTCCCGCTACACATTCCAAATTTCATTGAAATTAGAGATACATAGCGTGTTTGGTGCATCAAATACATGAAATCGGTCGAAAATATATATGGGAGCTATATTCAAATCTGAACCGATTTCAATTTAATTTGACAAATTCATTTTGGCTCCGTTACTTATTTTAAATTTCATTACAATTGGAAATACATATCGTGTTTGGTCCACCAAATATCGGCCGAAAATGTATATGGAAGCTATATCCAAATCTGAACCGATTTCAATATAATTTGGGAAATCAATTTTTTAGATAAAATGTATCACACGTTTCAAATTTCATTGAAATTGGGGATACATAGCGTGTTTGGTGCATCAATGCTTGAAATCGGCCGAAAATATATAGGGGGGCTATATCCAAATCAGAACCGATTTCAATATAATTTGACAAATTTATTGTCGGATTAAATCCCGTCACACATTCCAAATTTCATTGGAATCGAACATTCATATTGTGTTTGAGGCATCAAATGATCGAAATCGGTCGAAAATATATATGGGAGCTATATCCAAATCTGAACCGATTACAATATAATTTGGCAAACTTATTTTTGTTCCAAATTCCGTGACGTATTCCAAATTTGGAGACTGTATCTTCAACCAATCAATATATATGTGCATATAAAATCTAATTTTTTGGGAGGTACTTCCGATTCTGATGCTATATCTCCAGTTCCAAGTGGAAATTCAAAAATGTATATAGCCTATGTTACTTTCAGGCCATGTTGCAGTATATATGGAAATTTTCAGGAAAATCTATTCAGCGGTTTTCGAGTCCATAAATTACAAACAAACAAACATACAAACATTTTCCTCTTTTATAGATATAGATACCACCTCCTTACCTCTTTAAGTATCCGCAAATAACAACTCGGTCCTCCATCTCCATACATACCTACCTCATGTAGGCAACTAAATAACTCATATCGATAAAACATAATTTTCTTTATTTAATAAATAACATAAATAAATAACTTATCCTATCAGTTGAAGAGCCTGGATCCACAGTTCATCGTCCTTAGGCCGATGACTATTCAAGATTTTCCTTTACCGGCGTTTCATTGACGTTGACCTTTTGATCTTTGTGTTCATCGACGGTGTGTTCCATCTTTTCATTATCGGTTTTACGGGGTCCATGGGCTTGATTTTTATTCACTCTTCGCTTGTTTTGGGAACCCGTGCGTTTTCTCTTGTTCTTGTTGTTGGTCTTCTTGAAACCATTGCGATTCTTGTTTCTCTTTTTGTTGCCATTGCGGCGAACAACGCGACGTTTGCCATTTTTGGTACGATTGCTCTTTTTGGCTTTTTTGGTTTTGAATTTCTTGTTTCGATTATTTGGCCAGCGAACGCCGTTTCTGTTGTTCTGCTTGCGTCGATTGTTTTGTCTACGTTTGTTCAACTGACGGTTTCTATTCCTGTTGTTGTTAACACGTCGCACGCCGTTGTTGATTTTGCGCCTGCGCACACGTTGACGTCTGCGGACAGCACGTTCTTCGGGCATGGCATCATCATCTTCAGCGTTGTCTGATTTCTTCAATTGGGTGTTACTGTCTTGCAACAAGTTGTTGTTGTGGAATGCACGCAGTTCCCGAGCCAGACGTTGCTATAGAGATTACGAAAATTATAAATAGCATTGACATTTAGCTGATGCAGGACTTACCATGCCAGGCTCCTTGAATTGTTCAATATCTTTTTCGCTTATGACAAGCCCATTCAAGGCGGCATTTTCATGAGACTTATTATCACTCTCTGTGATGGCATCTTCGTCATCGTCATCTTCGTCGTCTAATGCCTCATCGTGAGACTCAACTTCATGCAGAAGCTTGGACTCCACTGGCTCCTCATGTTTCACCCCCTGAGGCGAGTTTTCAATTTTAACATCTGTGGGAAATTAATTGCAAGGTATAAATATTTTTTCCTCGATTGCATGGAAAGTTCTAGAATGTTACCTGCTACTGCGGAACGGGGGAAAACGCTCAGGGCACAGAGGGCCACTGCTAAGAAACACGCAAATTTCATTTTATTTTAAAATGAAATTAAAAAAAAATCGACGGAAAGATTTTACGCTTGACATTCGTGGCCAAGCAATGAGTTGCAAACTGATAACGTTGGAGCTTATATCGGCTCGTCTTGTAATTGGATGGCTTAACAGCCGACATCATTAACATAACAAGCTGCGTTCATACAAAAAACTCAAGACCATCAGCGGCACCGAAGAGGCCAGCCAACGAAGTTATGAAACCACTTTGAAATCTTTGCGAACATTTAAATCGAACCAAACAACCGCTTTGAGAGAGGGCCATAGAACAACAATAACAATTCGCAAGAAAAGAAAACGAAGAAAGTTGACGAACATAAGCGTAACGGGATATGGAAGCATGTGTGAGTGTGTGTGCGTGTGTATCTATGACGGGCTCATCAATTCCAATAACAATCTGAGCTTTCTTTGATCTTTCTTCGAAATAACCCCCCAACTTTGTACCCTGACCTGCTGGCTTTCTCTTTGGTGGTGACCCCCCGCCTAATGAATGGCAAATTAGGCACAGCGAAATATCGATTAACATTAAAAATGTTTTTTGTTTTTATTGTTTTCTTGTTTTCTATGTGTGTGTGTATTCGTTTAACCTAATCGTATTAGCCATAGGATGCCTTAATAGAGAGGGGGGAAGCATAAAGTAGGGGAGACTAAGAACTAAGTAATACTAGAAATTAAGATTTTAGGCAGATATCCTGCCTCAGGTCTCATTCTGGGTCTTAAGCACGGATGACACGGCGACGGCGATTACCACCTCGTACGCCACGGCGGCGATTGCCACTGACACGTACAACGCGCACGCGATTGCCATTGCGACGTCTGCGGTTGCCACTGCGTCTGCGATTCACCCTGCGGCGGTTGCCACGGCGACCACGCTTGACATTGCGACGGGATCCCCTGCGACGTCTGCGTACAATGACACGATTGGCACGTTCCTCGCCGGCTGAGCGACCCTCAATGGGACGTTCCATCAAGGCCACAACACTGCCATCCGGAATCGAGTCCAAAATGGAGCGGGGCAACAAAATGGCTGGTTTACCGGTCTTTTCGTCAATAACACTTTGGCCTTCGATTTCAATGATTTCATCGGGAACCATAATGGCTCCAGCATTTTCACGGGACACCATCATTTGGGTGTTTTTGCCATTTTTCAGGGGCAAAGAAACTTGCTGGGTTTTCCTAACCTGGGTCTTCGAATCAATATTTTTCATGACATCAAGGACCATGTCGTCTTCTTCCTCATCATCGTCTTCATCGTGTTGCATGTTTTCCTCTACATCGTCATCATCATCAGCCATCATCTCCTCGTCGTCTTCCTCGGCAATATCTTCGGAATCAGGGGAGATTTTATCCTCATTATCCTCAGTATCGCCATCTACAACCTCAAAGCCCTGGATTACTTGGGAACGGCCATGGGGAACGGTCAAGAAAATATAGGGATTGGGTCCAGCAACACCAGCCTTGACTTGATGTATAACACCACGTGGGTGTTGTTGTTTGGGTTCTGGTTCGGGTTCTAATTAAAAAAACATATAACAAATCAATTTTTCTTCATTTTTTCTTCTCAATTTTTTGTTAACACCCACCTGCCAAAGCAATTGCCAGGCCAGTGGCCAGCAATAAAACTAAAGTGAATTTCATTTCGCAAATGTCCTTTGTCTTTTGACGCGTCTCAAATTTCCTATATCTTCCTCTCAAACAAGCCTTCTTTAATTGTAAGCGTATAAAATCGGAATGAGGTGTCAGAACTATTGTCGGTTTTTATAAGAACTTTATTACAATGACTTTGCCAAACCGCAAAAGTCGGCGAAATTTTATTTTCCCAATACTAACACGCTCAGCTTAGAACATGTTAACGAGCGAATATCTAATGAGCATGAATCTTTACACTTGACTTTCTTTTCATGCGTTCTGTTTTTATTTCTTTTGCCCTATCTTCATTTTTCGCTTTTTTCTCTTTTTGGATTGACCATTGTGTTATTTTCTTTCATTGGATTATGCATTCATAAGATCGTATAAATACGATGTCGGTATGGGCAGTTAGCTCACAATGGTGAGCTACTCTTCAAAATAAATTTGAAACAGCAGAGATTTAACCATTCTGGAATCTATGCTGTTTCAAGTTTGGATGGAGAAATGGATTTTACAGATACAAATAACATATTGAAGGTCCTCATCGAGCTCGTTGCGGATTATCCTTTCTGTGCAGTAATTTTTTTTTGAAAATTTCGAACTTTTGTAAGGAAGGTGCCAGAAGGAGTAGACCGATATTGCCCATCTCCGAACTCCATCTAAGTTTGACAATAATATTACAATGTACCAAGTTTGGACCACATTGGATACTCCATTCGAGAGTTATCGTGCGCACAAGCCAGACAGACAGACGGACATCGCTATATCGACCCAAATGACCTGAATCGAATTTGGTCCAAAGAGACCTAGTTTTTTTTTGATGAGGCACGTTTTGGTTGTAGCAAATGATATGATTTAAACTTGGTACACCCAAATATTATTGTCAAACTTAGATCGAGTCCGAAAATGGGCAATATCGATTCAGTCTTTTTGGTACCTCCCCCACAAACTGTCAAAATAATTTACTGCACAGAAAGAGAGAGGATAATCCGATTCTACTCCAATTTTGCATATGGCATAGGCCAGGTGTGAAAATGGACAATATTGGTCCACTCCATCAAGTACCTCCCCCATAAACTTTCAAAATATGGAATAATTATAACCGATATAAAATGTGATGAGAGAGTCCGATTGCTTTCAAATTACACACATCAAAATATATTTATTAATCCTAGGTAAGGTGTGAATATGGAATATATCGGTCCACTCCTTCGGGTACCTCCCCCAGAAAGGGTCAACATTTGAATATTCATAAAACTTATAAAACACGAAATTAACATCCGATTCCATTCAGACTTGACACATCTCAATTTTTCCTTCACTACAAGATCTGGTATAAAGATGGTAGAGATTGGACCATTCTGTCTGTTACCTTCCCCACAAAAGGTTCAATATTTCGAATAACCAAAACGATCCTAAAATCCGAAGTAAACATCCTATTCTCTGCAAATTCCACACATCACAATATTTTTATTAGCCCAAGGTCTGGTGTGAAGATGGAATATGATGGCCCTCCTGAAACTTATAAAACGCAAAAATAATGTCCGATTCCAATCAGACTTGATCCATTTCTTTATTTCCGTCAACACAAAATATGTTATAGAGATGATAGTGTTCGCATCATTTCCTCTGGTACTTCCCCCATATAGGGTTCAAGATTTTAAAAAACAAAACTCTAAAATAAAGAAATGTAAGCATCCAAATCTTCTCAAATTTCCCACTTACAAACATTTTTGCTATCACAAGATCTGTTGTGAAGGTGATATACATCTGCCAACCTCTTCTGGTACCTTATACCTGGTCCGCTATACCTATTACCACATTCCACATTTTCCAAAAACGTGCACATATCTCATATAAATTATAAAAAGTAATCATTGTCCAAATCTGGCACGTTGTGATATTAATATCAGTCTTAGGTCAGGTACGAATTAGTCAATATTGGCCAACTGCTTCGGAACCTCCACCATAAAGGGTCAACTCTTTTACTTGTTTTTTTTTTGTCAATATGTAAAGGTCCACATTTTCAGCTGACCTCTTTGGCAAGTAAACACGACATTTTTTGGTTTACAAACTGCTGTACAACAAAGGTTTTCTCATCGAAGAAAACCAAATTCGGCAGTTTACCATTTTCGGCCCAGCAAAGCAACTCTTTGTTGCTGATTTCTTCCGTCCATTTCTTTGACGTCGGGCTACACTACCAGTATCACGGTAACGAGCGATGGTACGAGACACAAACAATTTGTTCACATTTAAATGCTGGAGTGCTCTAACGATAGCCACTTGAGTTTTTCCAGCTAAATATAAAGGAATCACACTATCACGATTGAATTTAATCACGAATAACTTTTTTTCTGGAAAATTTTCACCAAATTGCTTTTGTACCCTTGTAAACAATATAATGAGCTGTCATTGGAATAATTTTAATAGTTGTAGGACGAGTGGCTTGGGAATGACAGCAGTCTGAAGTTGGTTGCAGTTTTTTCTCACCCTGTACATATTGAGTTTCAGCGTCAAATTTGATTTAGCGATGTCCGCCTACCTGTTTGTCTCATAACGCTATCTTTCGAATGAATTGAGATAGAAGGCAAAAACTTTCCTCACATGTGCATTTTTTCAGCTGGAATTATGTAGGTAGGTTCGATATATTTGGACGATTGATATTTGGACGATTTAAGGTCATATTTTCCCATAACGTTGTTTAAAATTTTTAAATTGTTTACGATTTGGTACGAATCATTTATAATGGGTTCGACATACTGCGTCTGATCACTGTTTATACAGGTTCCATTTTCCACATATCCCCCATATAACGGTACCACTTTCCATTCGGTACTCTGATGCCACATTTTTAGCAGAATCGTATAAAAAGCGGTATCTACAGTTTGTCTTCTGTGGCAGAGGACTGTTGAAATAGGACAATTATTTCTTATATCACTCATAAAGCGAAACCTGCAAATATTTGGTATTTTAGTGATTTTAGCCATTTGTTTAACAGATTTCAAATTCGATATTTAAACGACAGGAAACTAGTACCAACGACTTGACGTTATTTTGAAAAATATTTACTTGGCAAAAATGGAAATGGACAAAATATTCAATCTCTATACTTTTATTTTTTAAGATTTTCTTAAGAGGGCATTAAAAGATCGTCCTCAGTTGACTAATTATCTGTAGATTCATAATCTTCTGACTAATGTAAAAAAATGAAATTGTCGCAAAGTAATATATATAAACTTGTGAATGGAAATTCGTACTAAAGGCCACGAAAAGTAAAGAAGCATACTAAATATGTTATTATTGGTATTGAATAACTGTAAAATGTAGAGCTGTGAACATGTATACAAAATAGTACGAACTGTGCTTAGCTAATATTTATAAAAATGATAAGCAAAGCATCGACAGAGCCGCATATAGGTTGTTAAAAAGGGAACTATTGTACCCAATGAAGAATTAGTTAACAATAATAAAAATCGGACCTTTCAAAAAAGCATTTTAAAAGTCCACGTTTATAGGTCATTTGGGCATTCCGAAAAGTATTTCAAACCAGTAAAGAAAGTCTTAAAGTCGGGCGGGCCGACTTTATGATACCCTACACCACTTTGCTAATTTAGTAGAGTTCCACATAACAATTAAACGTTTTTATGGGAGAATTCAATCATACACGCTATGATTATAATTATAATTTAAAATTCAAAGGACTAAATATGCCGAAGCATTTGTATCTTTTAAATTCGGACTGGTATTGCCCATTTGATATATATTTGCATTGATATACATCTGCATCCAAATCTGAACCGATCTTGATAAAATTTGGCAAAGATACTTCTGAGCTGCATTTCATATATTTCCCTGAATATCGTTGTTACGGAGTGCATATTACGGCTGTGGGTAACAAATTGAATGAACAATATATATGGTATCTATAGCTATATCTGAACCGATCTTCACCAAATTTGATATACTAGCTTTTAGACCCAATTCGGTCGTAAGTGCCAAATTTCATCCCATTTGGACAAATATTAGACGTTTGGTGCACAATAAAAGGTAAATCGGACGATGATATATATAAGAACTATATCTAAAATTTTACCGATAATCTCCAATTTCAATAGGGTTCGTTTGTTTCTCCAAACAAATGATTTGTGCAAAATTTCATCTGGATCGAGTAACAAATGCAAACTGTACTTTGTTCACAAAAATACATGGACAGACCGACGGACATGCATAATTCGACTCAGAATGTGATTCTATGCAGATCATCAAAAGGAACTATGGGTCTATCTCGTTTCCTTTTGCTTCTTACAAACAAATGCACAAAGACATAATACCCTGACCGCCTTGTGGTGTAGGGAATAAAAATCCACATATAAGCCCTGTTATATCATTAATAATCTTCTTTAAAAAAATAATTACTAGCAGACCTGAACAAGATTACGTTTGTAGCCCCACTGGTCCTATCGTTTTTTTTTTAATTTTAGTATTTTAATATTTATAAAAATTCCCTCTATAGGAAGTCGTAAAGCACCCCCTCCCCCATTTACAAATATTTACAATTTCTCGACAAACGTTGTCGAATATGCGAATTGCACTTAGTTACAATAACCGTGTTAAAAATAGAATCATGTAATTTTTCGTGTTTTAGAATTTTTTATCGGGAATACCAGAAATACTAAATATTGTATGAAACTTCAATTGGTTCAAAATATATCAAAAATAAGACGTTAACAAAAAATGGGAAACAAAAAAGGTTTTAGTCAAATTTGGAAATTAAATTGTATGTCTGGTCATAGTCCATTGAAAAGGCACATTCATTATTGTTTCTTCTTAAATTCTGTACCAATTTGAGAATGTCTTTATACTTTTTTAATAATTGGTTTTATTGTAAAACCCTTTGTTTTAGATAAATACAGATATTTAACATACATTTACCAAACCCTTGAGAACTGACCTCGCACTCACCTGACTGTTGACCGGTAGTCATTATTTATTCCAAAAATGGGAGTCAA